GAGCAGTCGTGATCTAAGAAACCCCACAAACGCACCAACGCTGAATTCCAATAAAAAATCACAAATTGTCTCGCCTGACATGAGGCGATGTTTGAATTGATGTTGATGGAGATGCGGTCCCTTAAACCACGCATCGATCCATTGCAAGATCCAAATTATTTAGGTGTTCGAGGTGGCAAACCCTTTTTGCGGACTCCAGCGTCTCACGTCGCGGCACAACGTGCAGTGCCGCCACCACTGCATACCACCACACCAAGTTCGCGTCATTTCGGAAAACCCATCCGGAAATTTGAACCTACACCAAAAGCTTCTCAAATCTGACTTGATTGCTGCACCAACACTGCAATGGTAACCCTGCACCACCATTCCTCTAGCTCCAAAGTTAGCACCAACTCCGTCAACCGTATCGGAGATTTGCTGAGGGGACAAACTCAAAAGATTCAAGTGGCGCTCGCCCTAGATCCATGTTGAGATAGCTCCAAATGCCACCAATCGGACCGAATGGAGGTCGCCGTAGAGCAACAAAAAAACACTTCAATTCCTACTTAACTTCACCTTGAGGACAAGGTGAGTTGAGCGGGGTGGAATGATACGTACCTTTTATTGTTGTTGTTATTATGGATTAGTGGAAAGCTAAGGCGAGAAGTTTCCAACGTAGTGGGAAATAAGTAAGGTCGTGAGGTTTCTTTCTTTAATGTATTATACTACTTCCGTCCATAATTAATCTTCCTAGTTTGACTCGGCACGCATATTAAAAAAAGTATAAATGTAGTTGACTTTCCCAAAATGACATCACCCCCTTCTCTTCCTTGGCCCCCTACTCTTCTCTTCCGTCCAAAGCTCTATGCATGGGGCGATTGGCGTCTGCGAGGAAAGACGTACAAGAAATTGGGTAGACTCAAACGGTTATCTTGATGCTCCGCCGCTTCCTTCGATAGATGCCTCGTTGCTATACCGTGTCACCTTTGACTATCACCTTTGACCGCCGCCTTGTTGCTCCACCCAGTGCTTCAATTTCAAAAAAAGAAGAAGGAAGAACTTGGGGCCCTTTCCTTATAATCCAAAATGCACCGTCAATTATCGCTCTTTACTTTACCATCACAACAAGATGTCGCCATCTTCATCTTTGTATGAGATCTAGATTGGAGTCATGAGATCTATAGACACATGGTACAACCTTAAGAGATCCGTCCAAATCGAGCAATGTTTACACCCTCAAGTCATCAGATCTGTCCATATTGATGACGCTGCACGGCGGAGGAAGAAAGAAAGAAAGAAGAAGACGAAGAAGGAGAAAAAGAAGAAGAAAGGATTGAAGAAGAAGATGTTGGAGTGGAAGGTTGGACAAAAATGAAAGAAAGAGGAGGAAGAAAAAAAAGAAGAAGGATAGGGGGTGGCTGGACAAATCAGAACGTGGAGGGAAGAGAAGAAGAAAAGAAGAAGAATAAGAGGGGTGGCTCAGTTGCTGTATACAAGCGGAAGGGAGAGAAGAAGAAAAGAAAGAAAAAGAAGGAAAGAAGAGGAGAGTGCGGAGGGGTGGCTGGACGAGTTGAGAAGGAAGAAAAAAGGAAAAAAGAAGAAAAAATGGAGTGGGTGGGTGATGGTAGTTAAGTCTTTTAACCATGTAAGATTTACCAAAAAAGGAAATGAAAAGATAACTTGTTGACGGATGAAAAAAAGTAGGAAGATAATTTGTGGATAGAGAGCGTATATATAGTTTGTATGTCATTAAGTTAAGAGTGCTTTTATGGTGCAATTTGAGTGGATACAATTTTTGTGCATCTTATCACATAAAAAATCAAAATTTTATTTTTATTTTTTATTAAAATAAATGCTCATCAAGATAATTGAAAGTTGCTTATTAGCTTCATATGTAGATTTATGGTGGACATTAGGTCCATCATAAAACATGCCTTAAGTTAATGACTCATTTCTAGAAGTTAATTTCTGCTCATTTTCTTTATATGTTGTTTGGTTACATGAAGGGAAGTGAAGAAGAAAGACAAGCGATCTGTAGAAGAATTAATGAAAATGTGTGATATTAATACCACTTCAGATTATGGAATGCTCAAATGATGTGAGGATGACTATGAAATTAAAGATCAAATCATTTTAAGCAAATCGAACAGATCTCATCCATTGGTTGATGCTTGTGTCTGTAAATTACACATTGGGAGACACCTTTTTTTGCTAATAACACAACAAGTAGCGACGATAAGGCTGGACGGATAAGACAACGTGAAACTTTCAGATTTTGTGGACGGAAAGATAATGTGCGAGAAGAGCAGTGGCAGATATGTCTTCCGAAAAAACGGAGGACAATTTCCATATTTTGGGCTTCACTTTCCACTTGACCTCTTATTATTTTCCTTTGACTTTCCTTCAAAACACAGGAAAATATATAATGATTTATAAAATTCAGTTTTCATCTTTCCAAACCGATCCTAAGAAAATAAATATGAAATGAATGAATCATAGATAAAGTTATTTGAACCCCAAAGATTTCTATCCCATTTTGTACACCGTAGCGATGCATCAACATTTTGTGTTGGTGTAATGCTAATTTTGTTAATGCACAAACACTTTGTGCCAGTGTAAATTTTTGTTAACGAACCAACACTTTGATAGTTCACACCTTTGATGTACAAATGAGGTTGAAATTTTGGGGTACATGTAGCATTATTCATGAATCATTTATCTGGTCTCTCTTAATATTCTCTCTGGGTTCTCCCTCTTTTGTTGGCCAATTAGTTAAACCCCAATTCGAACATATTGTCATCAACCTCTGCGCCTTCTTCCCCGTCTTGCTCCCATCGTTCTCTTTGCCGTTGTGCTCGTAGACCTCCAATTGCAGGCTGTCCGAATTCGAATATCAAATAGTTTCGTATATTATAAATTATTATGTACACCGTATTATGGTAATGTATGCGGAGTATTTCGATGGCAGAGAGGAAAGGGAATGTCTTGAAGATCAATTTCACTATCTGATTCCCCTATCTCATTTCTTCGTATTTCCGTAGATTTCTACTGCAGTTCTCCATCTGCCTTCTCCTCCGCAGTTCACTATAGAGTCCAGGGCCGACCCAATAGGGGGACAAGGTGTCCGTCCGGGCCGGGCCCAAAAATATTAGGGGCCGGTTTAGGTGAGAATGCACATTGGTGAAAGAAATGAGAATAAAATCTAGCCTTTGGATCGGATGCTGTTAGACAAATGTGCAACTCTAGAGGGGGGGTGAATAGAGTTGTTCTCAAGAATGTGCGTTTTTCGCATGTGTGAAATAATAAAATCGCAGGAATAAATAAAGAGAGTAAGGGAAAGAAGAACACCGAGATTTATACTGGTTCACCACCCCGTGGCTAGTCCAGTCCTCCGAGAGACTCTCTCGAAAGTCCTACTAATTTTCAAGCTTCAACGGGTGCTTGAAAAACCGGTACAACTTGAGAACTTGAATCACACAAGCCTCACTTTCTTACAACAACAAGACTTGAGTCACACAAGTCTTAAGAACAACACTCAAATGAGATTGAGTTTACAACACAAGAATGAAAGCTCACACAATTGAGCAAAGTAGTGTTGAAGAATTAAAGCTCTATGGATGACAATTTCTTAAGCACTCAAAGAAAATATTTCTAACTCTCAAAAAATAATATTTTGACGAGGAAGATGAAGCAAAGGATGAATATAGCTCAAAGAATATTTTGGAGTGCAAGAGATGTGTTTGGAAATGAAGGAGAATGAGGGGTTAAATAGGATGAGGAAAACAAAGCCGTTGGAGAACGCTGATGATATGCACCAGACAGAATTAATCGATTAAATTAGGAATTTTAATCGATTAAAGTGTACAGAAGCGAAAAGGCTTGAATGCAAAGGTGGAATTAATCGATTAAAAAAGAGAGAAAAAT